CAGCAGCAACCACAGCCTCCCAGACACTGTTCAGAGAGGTGTACTGTTTTCCCTCCTTGTAAATCTCACATTTGATGATGGACCACAGGTTCTCAATGGGGTTCAGATCAGGTGAACAAGGTGGCCATGTCATTAGTTTTTCTTCTTTTATACCCTTTCTTGCCAGCCACGCTGTGGAGTACTTGGACGTGTGTGATGGAGCATTGTCCTGCATGAAAATCATGTTTTTCTTGAAGGATGCAGACTTCTTCCTGTACCACTGCTTGAAGAAGGTGTCTTCCAGAAACTGGCAGTAGGACTGGGAGTTGAGCTTGACTCCATCCTCAACCCGAAAAGGCCCCACAAGCTCATCTTTGATGATACCAGCCCAAACCAGTACTCCACCTCCACCTTGCTGGCGTCTGAGTCGGACTGGAGCTCTCTGCCCTTTACCAATCCAGCCACGGGCCCATCCATCTGGCCCATCAAGACTCACTCTCATTTCATCAGTCCATAAAACCTTAGAAAACCAGTCTTGAGATATTTCTTGGCCCAGTCTTGACGTTTCAGCTTGTGTGTCTTGTTCAGTGGTGGTCGTCTTTCAGCCTTTCTTACCTTGGCCATGTCTCTGAGTATTGCACACCTTGTGCTTTTGGGCACTCCAGTGATGTTGCAGCTCTGAAATATGGCCAAACTGGTGGCAAGTGGCATCTTGGCAGCTGCACGCTTGACTTTTCTCAGTTCATGGGCAGTTATTTTGCGCCTTGGTTTTTCCACACGCTTCTTGCGACCCTGTTGACTATTTTGAATGAAACGCTTGATTGTTCGATGATCACGCTTCAGAAGCTTTGCAATTTTGAGACTGCTGCATCCCTCTGCAAGATATCTCACTATTTTTGACTTTTCTGAGCCTGTCAAGTCCTTCTTTTGACCCATTTTGCCAAAGGAAAGGACGTTGCCTAATAATTATGCACACCTGATATAGGGTGTTGATGTCATTAGACCACACCCCTTCTCATTACAGAGATGCACATCACCTAATATGCTTAATTGGTAGTAGGCTTTCGAGCCTATACAGCTTGGAGTAAGACAACATGCATGAAGAGGATGATGTGGACAAAATACTCATTTGCCTAATAATTCTGCACTCCCTGTATATTACTATCTCTATCTCCAAATAAAACATACACACATATAGTTGATGAATAAGGGTAAGATCAGTATGCTTTAATAAGATATCAGTGCAGAAACACAAACTTCTTATTGGGTTACATTCCCCACATTGTTGTAATAGTAATAGTAATAATAATATTCATAATAATAATAATAATAATAATAATAATAATAATATCATCAACATAGATTTTAAGCATATTTTTAAAAAAAAATATCAAAATGGTATTGTATGACATTGACAGAACAGAATACAAGTAGCTTAACATGGATCCCATAAGGAAAAACAAAAACCCTGTTACACAAGCCAAAGATAAAATGCAGATATCTTTTTAAAGAGGAAGCGCGATGAGTGAGTGGATTAACTCCTGAATGATTTGTCACTTTACCCTTCAAGCAGCACAGTATGTTGCGCACTGGTGATAAGCCTCCTAGAGTTAAAACACAAAGCTAAAGACCCAATGATTTTTTTGGGGGGGTTAGCGTCACTAATGCTCGTGTCTCTTCGACATTTCTTCAGGGAAGGAGTTTTTGTTTGTTTGTTTTTTGCTTTTACCCCCTTTAATTTCCGACTTTGCAACATATCTTAGTTGTTGTTTTATTTCAACACTGGACATACATTTCACCTATTTGGCATTCAACAAGTTTCACGGTAGCTGCTGAATGCTAACAACATAATCGCTTTTAATTTTCTGACCAAAGCTAGTAGAGTTTTTTTTCCTTCTTTTTAAATCAACTTCCGTGTAGCCAACTTTTTCCACATGCATTACCACAGTTTCTTTCTTATCTGATGAGGTCATTTAAACTCATCTGAGGTGCTGTTCTTTGTCACTGTGCATATTTCCTCACACTAAATACATCTTTGGTTTGTAATATTTCACTTACCACTGAGATTCTTTACTAGTTTATATTGCACATAAAATTTGCAATTAAAAAATGATAACATGCTTCAAACATGCTGTAAGGTGCTTTTCTGGAAACCAATGTTTCTATAATTTTATATATTTCAAACACTGTACATAATCCTACAAACATTATTAGCATTTAATTGAAGCCTCTTTTTACTCCAAATATGAAAAACTTCCAATTTAATCAAGGGTATAAATGGCCTCTTCTTTGGGGTTGAAAAGAAACATTTTGGTAAAGTGAAAGGAGTGAAGAGGAGAGGAGAAACAAAGAAGTGATTTATCAAATTGGCAAGTGGAGAAATATGGCGCAGGTAGGCAGGCTGAACAGGAAGTCTGTCATTTCATTAGTCCTTCAACTGAACTTCACTTCTTTACATCTCCTCTTATTTGAGATTGTTGCAAATTTTGATCAAGTTTTGGTTGCAATTTTACTGTTAAAACTCTTCCTCCTGACAGATTTGGCCTAATTATATGCGGTTAACTAGAGGAAATTTAGAGGTAATTAATTTAGAAGTAATCACACATTTTCATTGTGTAATTACCTACTGCATTTTTTTTTTAAATTTTAATTGTTATCAGGACTGTCCCCTTCCTCTTTTTTGGCACAGTTTCAACATAATCTTTTGATATTTCACAAAATTATGCTTGTAACAGACACCTTTAGCACCACTCAGTACCAGAAAACCCTTATAGGCACATGAGCGCCGACTGAAGCAGCATGTTGAGACACTATATATTAAAATATAAGAGCTTAACATTACAGTCAAATCTTTTTTTCCCCAACCAACTAATTCTAAAAACCCACAAGCAGCCTCATTAGCAAACAGGTCATCTGATAAGCCTCACACAAAGCTTAATTTGTTATCAAAAGGAAGGATTGGTTCTAATGGGATTCTACTCAAATCCAAGAGACTGGCTCATCACTGCTGATCAATTAGGATCGAAATAGATCCCAAAAGCTCTATTAGGTTTGGGTATATTTAAGGAATAAGTGAAAGAAAGCTACAGTGGCGCAAAATCTGAAGAGTTATCATCAAAATCATTCCAACTGTGAATGTTTTCTCCAAATATTATAAAACACATGACAAATTTGTATTTAACAATAATCTATATTTCTTTAAAAAAAAAAAAAAAAAAAACCTTTTGGGGGTTTTATTTTTAGATTGATATCTTCTACTTGGCTGCGAGAAAATATCTCAATTTCATATCCAAATTTAGATTCATGCAGCAAACAGGAGGAAAGAATTTACCTTTAACTTAAGATGCAATGTCAAGTTAAGATTGCATTTGATAATCATCCCCCACAGACCTACAGTATGCCATCTACAGATCTAAAGGAACAAACTGTGCACTTGAAGGGTGACCTCGGTATGTTGAGACAACCATAAAGTCATAAGGCACATCATAATGATTAAAATGAACTTGAAAGAAGTTGAGCACATCAGGTGGAGAACATCAAAATACAGTGTTAGTGGATCCAAGAGATGTAATAAAAGTTCTACAAATGACAATGATACAATGTCTATGAAGCACCTTTTGCTTTTATATATGCAACTGGAAAACTATGTGATTAACAATGTGGCAACTTCACCTTCCTTACAATATTCAAAATGCTACATATCTGAAAAGTGAAACTTAGAAAACTGATATTTACCTCTTGTTTTGTTGTTTGTTTGTTTTTTATCTGATTTTTTTTCTTGTTATTTTTAAAGCAAGAACAACAACAGTACTGGCCAGCCAACAGATTCCATGGATATTTTAGGATAGAATAAAAAAAAATTTAAAAAAAAAATGCCACCACAACACAGAAACAGCACAAGAAGAAACAGCACTGTGAGGGACTGGCTCTAACTGCATCTATGGGGG